AGTACTTTGCGAAAAGCGTCCGTGCCAATCTAGACGCTCTTTCCTGAAAATGCTTTTAACGGAAAAACGTTTGTTAAAAGCATTTGTGGAAAATCATGCCAGTGTAGACGTAGCCTCTAGAGCTCCCAGGCCAGGGAATCCCCTTGGCCCCCACAGAAGAGATCTCAGCCCAGGACACAGGTGTCCACCAGTCCCTGCAGTCCCCCCCCCTCCCGAGACAAATGCACATCGCAGCTCTGGGGGATACATGGCCCCCAAGAGCAGCTGGGCCCAGGGCTCAGTCTGTCCTGGCATGGGCAGGCATCTCCCCATAGTCAGAAGGTAGATTCCCCCATACACCCCCAGAACTCACTCACTCACTCACACACACACACACGCTTACCCAGCAGGCTGCCCCAGAAGGAGGGGAAGGTGGCCGCCCCAGTGACAGCTCCGGGGGCCGCTGGGTTCCTGCGGGTGCTAGTGACCGTGAAAGCCTGGTCCCCGCGCTCGCCGGAGGGGCGGCCGGTCACCTCCACCTCCACCACGTGCCAATCAGGGAGGCTGGGGGGATGTGAGGGCAGGGAGGTGAGTGGAGGGAAGACCATGCTATGGAAGAGGTGGGGTGCAAGGAGCAACACTGACATGGAGACAGCAGCACCCTACGAACCCCAGGCTGGGAGCTGCCATGCACAGAGGGGCGGGAAGACTTGCGGGGTGCAGGGATCTGTGGGAAGCTGGGAACAGGGAGGTCCAGGGAGCAGAGAGAAGGGGTGCAGGAAACAGGTGCACAGGGACCCGGAGGTACAGGAGACAGCGGGTGCAGGGACCTGGGGGTGCAAGGAATGGAGGAGTGCAGGGACCTGGGGGTGCAGGGAGCAGGAGATGCAGGGTACATGGTGTGCAAGGGGGGGCTGCACTAACCCAGGGTCCGCGACGAGGCAGCCCCGGACCCCGTCGAAGCCCAGGCTGGGGGCGGCCACGCACGCGGCTGCCATGGTGTTGACGTTGTTGGGGGCCAGCGGGCAGAGAGCCCGCACGGGGCCCTCGTACAGCACGGCCCGCCCGGCCCCTGCTGCCTGCAGCCGCTCCCTCAGTGCCCCCTCCAGCCGGAAGCTCTCTGGGTGCTTCACCATGGTCACCGTGAGGCCCTGGGAAATGACGGCAGAGAG